CCTTTGGAGTGAGATCCATACCGGCCTTTGTGAGATCACTGGGTGTTACATACCTTCGGCCTTTGTGAGTCAATACCTCACTGGGTGTTACATACCTTCGGCCTTGTGAGGCCTCACTGGGTGGATACCTTCGGCCTTGTGAGATCCCTCACTGGGTGTTACATACCTTCGGCCTTGTGAGATCCATACCTCACTGGGTGTTACATACCTTCGGCCTTGTGAGATCCGTACCTCACTGGGAGTTACATACCTTCGGCCTTGTGAGATCCATACCTCACTGGGTGTTACATACCTTCGGCCTTTTGAGATCCATACCTCACTGGGTGTTACATACCTTCGGCCTCGTGAGATCCGTACCTCACTGGGTGTTACATACCTTCGGCCTTGTGAGATCCATACCTCACTGGGTGTTACATACCTTCGGCCTTGTGAGATCCATACCTCACTGGGTGTTACATACCTTCGGCCTTGTGAGATCCGTACCTCACTGGGTGTTACATACCTTCGGCCTTGTGAAATCCGTACCTCACTGGGTGTTACATACCTTCGGCCTTGTGAGATCCATACCTCACTGGGTGTTACATACCTTCGGCCTTGTGAGATCCATACCTATCTGGGTTTTACATACCTTCGGCCTTGTGAGATCCGTACCTCACTGGGTGTTCCATACCTTCGGCCTTGTGAGATCCATACCTCACTGGGTGTTACATACCTTCGGCCTTGTGAGATCCGTACCTCACTGGGTGTTACATACCTTCGGCCTTGTGAGATCCATACCTCACTGGGTGTTACATACCTTCGGGCTTGGGAGATCCATACCTCACTGGGTGTTACATACCTTCGGCCTTGAGATCCATACCTCACTGGGTGTTACATACCTTCGGCCTTGTGAGATCCGATCACTGGGTGTTACATACCTTCGGCCTGGAGATCCGTACCTCACTGGGTGTTCCATACCTTCGGCCTTGTGAGATCCGTACCTCACTGGGTGTTACATACCTTCGGCCTTGTGAGATCCGTACCTCACTGGGTGTTCCATACCTTCGGCCTTGTGAGATCCGTAATCACTGGGTGATACCTCGGCCTTGTGAGATCCAGCCTCACTGGGTGTTACATACCTTCGGCCTTGTGGAGATCCGTACCTCACTGGGTGTTCCATACCTTCGGCCTTGTGAGATCCGTACCTCACTGGGTGTTACATACCTTCGGCCTTGTGGAGATCCGTACCTCACTGGGTGTTCCATACCTTCTTGTGGAGATCCCTTGTGAGATCCGTACCTCACTGGGTGTTACATATCTTCGGCCTGAGTGCCTCACCATACATCTACCTCACTGGGTGCTATCTTCGGCCGCTTAAGAAAATCAACATACCAATAAACACACTGATAAAAAAAAAATCGATTAATCAAGAATATGCTTTCGCTGCGCCATCGGCTGCCCGAAGGCTCACATTATGAGTCGGGAAATGATGGATAAACTAAAGGCAATAATTTACACTATTTACATTCTTTCGTACTGTGGTCCTCACCTTTGTTGTTATTATCACAGCCTTTCGACCGTTGTACGCTCTGGCCTTCTTCAGGTGATTGAAATTTCGAATCGACACCTTTATTTCGTCCACCGGAAGAGAGTGTTCTAGTTCCACGTGCCATGTCTCTTTCGGATATCTCAGTTTCATGTATTTCCCTTTAGTAACTAAAAACTGCAATTTTTTGTTCACCTCTGCTCTGGTCAGGTTTGAACTCATAACTCTTTCGGGTCAAGTCACTGGATTACTTCAACCAATGCCTTTATCCGCTCAGTGTGTTAAGGACAATAATCTTACCTAAAACAGACAAAAAGTATCACAAGAAAACTTTTTTTCCAATTTGTCATACATTTTTTACTATATATATATATATATATATATATATATATATATACCTAAAACAGAAACGCTTTTTCAAAAGAGCGCTATTTGATGATAATTTAGTTTAGTCTTGCCTGGCAAAAAAGCTAAATTTAAGAGGAACCCAATTTTTGGCAAACCCATGACAGTAATATTAATTACTGCTTACGACCCTGAAATATGAAAATTATTGGACAAGCAGAATAATGTTAAATATCCCCGGCCAAATATAGGTCCCGTCCAGCAAAGCCGATAATTGAGCAGATACTACACATTGATCCGAGCATAAAATCTAGTACATACACTTAAAAGATTATTTTTCTCGCCTTTGATATCCTTTTTTTTACCTCCTATTTTCTGTCATTTTTTTCCGACCATATTCCTGGGTATGACGATAAACTACACCTGGCAGCAAGGCCTCTGATCGGTAGATTGGAGCCTTTGACAGGCGTGGAACTTCCTCATAATTGCTGATGTTCCCAGGTCCACCCTGCCTCGGGTTGGTAGCACCTATTCGGGTCCCGACTATGGGAAAATAGTGACCCCCGCCCAAACAAAAACCAAATACTATGAAAGTATAAAAATACTTTTATGGTGAAAATATCTGTAATA